AACCGCTAACTTACAAGCTTTGATAAATCTTGCTTATACAGATTCGGCTGGCCAGTAGTTACACCGAGTCCTTCCTCGTTGCCCATTTTCCAAGCTCAGTAATGTTAATCTCACGGTACCTCTGTTCTACACATAAAGACCATTTTTCTTTTTTTTGGATCCTTATATTCTTTATGTCCACGTTTTGGTTTAGTTTCGGATTTTTCAAGCCTAACCTGTAATGTTGATTTCAGAATGTCCCTGATTTACAAAGATCGTTTTCTTTCCTAGATTTTTCTGCCCACGTTTCAGAAAAATGCCGGAAACGGATGATGATTATGATGATCCTAGTATAAAAGTGGTAGACGCTTTTACCAGTATTCACACTTTTATACCTTCTTGCCACGCAAAGCAAATCCTGCCACAAATGCCACAACCCATAACCTCCATACAGTGTTGCCAGATATTTTTCGTTCAGAAGTAACTGAAAGGTGGCGCTCGGGTACCCTAAAAGTAGCCGATTTGAAAAATGAAATAGCCCAAAAAATAGCCAACCCAAATTTTTAATATATTTGAACATAATTAACGTTTTTCAAAATATACATTTTTAACAAAACATAAAATAAATATTTTTAACAGAATAATATACTTGTTCGTAAATATAAATATATATGTATATATATGTATACTATATAACAATAAATATATAGTAGCATTTGGGAGAAAATATCAGCTATGAACACAACCTTGAACGTTTGATTGATTAATCGATTCTATTGATCCGATAAGCGTTAAAATGACCTTAAAAAACTATCTAGTCGCGGAAAGTTCTGTTTGTATAATACACGATGATTTTCTATTTCATACATGTTATGGCTATTAAATATTTCTAATATATACAGTGTTGGACAATAATTTATATAACAAAGCCCAAGAACGTTCATGTATATGCAAATGCGCATATTATAAGAGCAACCAGAATACACATTCACAATTAGCAGTAAGTATTAGAAATGAATTTTGTGAATATGCGCGTAATTTTTTTTGCAAAATTAGTAATACAATAAAATGCATACATTAACCCCCGTATTCATAGTCAGACCTTATACTTAAGGCTTCCTTAAATTTATCTTCAGATGATCTACGAATTATTTTATTGGCTACTGAGTATCTAAAGATAAATTTAAGGAAGCCTTAAGTATAAGGTCTGACTATGAATACGGGGGTAAGCGCCAATAAAATATTTAAAATAGAATTTATGTATTTTTTTAAGCTGGCGCCACTTTCCAAAAATATGATGCAACTGCAAAAATGACGTAGCCCGAACGGACATCGATTGTTAAACGTTATACTCGTGTAGAGTCGGGATGAATCGGATATGATCGGTAGCGTATTCGGCTGCGATTATACCATGGCTCTAATGAGAGAGTACACAGTTGTTTTTTCGGTCGTATGAGAAAATTAGCAAATGTACATTTTCAAATTTTTTTTACAATGATGTGTAACGTGAAGAGTTATCTGAGCATAATTTCTAAACGCACCCATGCTCGCGAGCGTTGCAAACGTTAAATGAAACGCGTCTACAGCCACTGTTTAAATTTTTCGCTCAGTGTGGCGTAAGCTTGCACAAAGTCTCTGATTGGCCCTTTTTGAAATATGCGCAAGAGCATACCCTTAGGTTTGTTCGCGTCGCACGCTCCAACATGTTCCAATATGCTCCTACTATAGCTCTTGCTCACTTCAACGAGCACGTTGGAGAGAGTAAAGCGAGGAGCACAGACTTTTGCATAACGCATAAAGCATGTGCATAAGGAATTTGATTGGTCCATTGACTCATGCATAAGAAAATGGGCCAATGAAATTCCTTATGCACATGCTTTATGCGTTATGCAAAAGTCTGTGCTCCCCGCTTTAAGATCTCACAATGTGCAATGCTACTGCGCATTGTGTGAATAACCGCGGACGTTTTTTGACTTACCCCCACCACGCTAGTTGACTCTCCTGGTTCTAGTCTTCTTAGCCGCCAGGCTACGGCGTGTTCAGATTCCCACCCGAGTGCTCCCTGGGTGTCATGTCATTCTTATTTAACATTTGGCAAACAATAAGTGCTGCGTTCGGAAATATCACTCGAGTACCCCCGTGTATCGTCTTATCCTTGTTTGACATTGAATGAATAACAAGGATAAGACGATACACGGGGGTACTCGAGTGATATTTCCGAACGCAGCAAAGGATAGAAGGATACCTGAGTGGCACTCGGGTGGGAATCTGAACATAGCCCTAGGTGAGAAGTTGGGTACAAGATGTCGGACAGAAGTAGTGGTGAGGGACAGTTGGCGCATCTTTTATTATAGGTCTTCAGTCAGAATGGGACTGACGTGTTTCGTTCTGATTCAGATATTGCATCACCTCGATTAATATTTTTGAAAAGTGTTACCAACTTCGACCGTGCTTTTCATTTCATTTATCGGAAGTCCTTCACTCGTCTGGGCGCGCGGAGGTGCGGAGAACGTTTATGTGCACGAAGACCGCACGCAGAGGCGTCCAGTGTTTGGAGGGCGCATCAATTTTGCTTTTTGTTGCATCATTCACGGCATGATATAAACACAAGGGTATGTTAAGCCCTAAACACAGTGCGAGGGAATAGCAATAAGTTTCAACTTATCAGAAATCGAATACACCGAAATACGCATTTTTGAAACTTATCGCTATTCCCTTGCATTATGTTTAGAGCTTTATTGCGCATCTAGAAATCACGAATGACAAAGAAGTGACCAATAAGAATTCTTTCAAAGTAGACGTCATTAAAATGAGGGAAATTTAAATAGGCAGTTAGAAATAAGACTAACTTATGGCTTCAAAAAAGAAATATAAGGAAAAAAACAAATAAATGTACTAGCAACGGAGAGGTCTTGTTACCTGCAAACTTCCAACCACTTCAAAACCATTGCATTATCCTTCGGGAAAGAAAAGTATTGAACTTTTCTTCCTGGCATATTTCTCGTTTTTCGGTTATAATTCTTACATTCTTTTACTGCACAGCTCATTTTCGATAATTCTTTTTATCATTGATGCACGTACGACAATGCTATCGAAAATGATGTATCAGCTGTTATGCGTGATCCACAATGGGCAGTAGTAGTAGCGGATGAAGCTACTGGATAAATACTTAGCGGCCCTGTTTCAAGGAGCCGAACCTACACGAACCGCTCCGGAAACAGCCGAGGTGTGACATCACATGTGATATGTGAACTCCCCCACCACTCCAATTCCTGCGCAGTGATCTACCACTGGACGAGCATATACCCATGTCCCATGGTATAAAGACCATGAGCATACCATTTACGCGGATGTCAATGGCCCAGTATCATTATTATTATTAATCCTGCAGCCTTTCTACCTAATAATAATAATCATAATAATAATAAAAAGAAGAAACCAAGGCAGGCGTGCTTCGAGTATAACCTTTGTGCCTTTTGGTTTTTGTTGAGTTTGAGAAGTCTTTGCTGGGTGTATTCATTTTCGATTTCTGAAAATTACAAATTAGAATTGTCCGTGGACTCTGTGTGTCATATAACGTTAGATCTTACTTGACACATTCATAAGTAATAAAAGTTCCATCCATGAATTTTTTCTCTTTTATTTGTGTATCATTAAATTTCTTCAAAAATGAATTGTAAAAATGAGAATATCCTCTAACAGCACTTATTGGCCCTTTTTCACGTTTTCTTTTTCAAAATCCTCTGACTCATCATACTATATATATTATCAGTTATTTCACTGACTATAAAATATTCATGTTCCATTTTCAATATCAATATTTTGATTAGAAATTCGATCGTGTATAAAGCTAAGTTATATGATTTTCACGAAATGAAGAAGATTATTATTAAAATAGAGAAAAAGCATCGAAGAAAAGAACAAAATATAGAAAAATTATATTTATACTTTATAATAATCTCACCTACTTTATAATTATTTCACCTTAATAAAACTCTGTTAGATAGGACTTGTCAGGAATTATAACGATCTTTTTCGCAATTTGTAACGTGTAACCCGTGATTGACTAACCATAAAGACGTAACCGTAAGATTTCATCCTTGTAAAATTTTTCAACGTTACTTCTTAAATTTTAAGTTTTAAAATGGTATTCTTAAATCTCGGTTGTGATTGGCTGATTCGCTTACTACTTACGTCTTACTGCCTTAAATTTTTTTATGTGCCATAGCCTTAATGGGCCTTCTACAATAAACCATTATTTAAGTTTTAAGTGTTAAATCATAAGAAATTTACCAATCACAATCGAATGTGAGTGGTCAATTTCTTATGACTTAATACTTAAAACTTAGATAATGGCTTATTCTAGAAGGCCTATAAGACATTGCTTAAGACGATCTTGAAATAAGAACCGATTATAAATACCAGCCTGAGACTAGAGTTGGATATAATTATAATATTATAGAATCTTTGTATAAATATTGTGTGTAAGATTTAGAGATCCTCAAGTAAGAAATGCGCGAACTTTGAGCATTTATAAGAACATAGCGATCTCCATTACATGTCATATGTGTGTGATACTTGTATATTTAAAGTATAAATTACTAAATTTAGATAATAACGCCGTCTAGCGGTTTGCATTTTTCCAACATTTTTGCTAAACAGTCACCATTTTTTCCAGCATACTGAAAGTATGCTTAATAAGCGAAACATGTTGAGAGGTAACAAACATAACCTGCAATGGAGCTAAATAAAAATATTAATTCTATTCACAATTATGTCGGTCATCAATCAGATTTTCTTACGTACATTTAATCGATAAATATATACCGATAAATATACTATCCGTAACACCATGATTATACATATACACTGGTATATACAAGGACAAAGAATACCAAAAAAAGTGCATTCTCAGCAGAAATTTCAAACTGCTAGTAGCACAGCACAAAGCAATTCTTAAACGCTGACTTCTGCTGAACGTAGCTATTGAAATAAAGTTGAATTTTCGATATCAGCATAAATTAACAGTTACTCCAGATTTAATAGGTTTGTCTTCCAGTTATTCTTTCTCTTTCAGTAACATATCCACTTCCTATATGCCGGCACTATAAATTGATAAACTAAATTTTTTCTCCGGAACATTTTTAATCCAGAGCAGCGGCACCAGAAATAATTTCGATCAGTTCCCTGGTGATCACAGCCTGCCGAGTGCGGTTAAAAGTGAGAGTGAGTTTGTCGATCATCTCTCCAGCATTTTTGCTGGCGTTATCCATAGCCGTCATACGACTGGACTGCTCGCTGCAAGCACCTTCCTTCATCGAGTAAAACAACAGCGAGGCAAGAGAAAACTCAAGATAGCTCTGTATTACCTCATCATCGAGCGAATCATACACCGACAACTTCGGCGCAATAACCACTGCGTTCTTATCAAACAACGGTAGATCATCAACTGCGTATGATACCACGGACTTGAATCTGTTGTACACTATACGTCCAGAGCCAAAGGAATAACTGCAAAAGAATAGTTATTAATTATATTGTACGGTACTCCTTTAAAAAAAAAGTTTATATATGATATATCTATAAGATCCATATATGTAGTTAAGCAACAAAAATTTAGCAATTTATTTAATCAATATAAAAGTTTAGAGAATTAAAAATAAACAATATCAAATCTTATAAAACCGTGAGAATTTAAACCAGTAAAAACCGATGAGAACATACCGATCAAGCTGGATCTTGGATGCTTCTATATAATTGCATATAAATTTATGTACGTATGTAGATTTTTACCGAGGCAAGCTTCGGTAGTCTAAAGGTTTAGGACGCTCACACGGAATGCAAAAGATTCGGGTTCGATTCCTAGCCGAAGTAATATTTTTCACAATAAAAATTAAATTATTTACAGATTTAATATGTTTTTCAACATTATAAGATCAGTCTAAGATGCGCAAAGGATAACAAATTGTTAAATTGTTAGTCAATTTAACTCGTGATATTATTGCAGGAATTTAGTAGAATTTGCGTTTCAAATTTGAAAAATATTCGGCGCGTAATTACAAATCTACATACGTAGTATATAAATTCACATCGATTATATAGAGGTCGTGACGTCATTCCGCCGATTCCGTTCCGCTGAAGTGTGTTTTCCTATGTCCTATGGAGCGAAATTTGCGGAATGCGCAATTAGCGTTGACCAATCGCAAGAGTCTTTCCGTAGTTCACTCTCATTAGATCTACTGGAATAGCGTTTGTCATTGGCTCGCAATGATTGCGCATCCGTAAATTCCGCTCCATGGGATACAGGAAAACACACTTTAGCGGAACGGAATCGGCGGAATGACGTCACGACCAATCATGAACGTTCCGTAGTTCCGCATCCCATGGGAGCGCACCCTTGCTTCATACACACTAAGGCCTGGTTGCACCAACACTTCTTGATTTTAACTCTATTTATCTTCTTTTAAAGCCGAAAGGGAGACAAAGAAAGAGACAGTTTAAGTTTCGCTTAAAATCGAAATCACGTTGGTGCAATCAGGCCTAAATAATCTTAGTTGGTACAAGGTCTGTTCTTTTTAAACTAAACTTACAGGGTTTATCTTTTCTTTTTTTTTCTCTAACATGGAAAAAAGTGAAAAAATAAAGTATACAAAAAGTTTCGTTTAAAATATAGATCTATTACAAATTAACTGTTTAAGGTAATAATTATATTCTAGTTATATTTTATTTAGCTCTTGAGTTTGGTTAACATACCCACTATTCAGTATCTGTATAGCTATCTTGGCAGCATCGTTAAATGTGGGTGGCTTGCGACCGACCTCGGACGCGACGAAAAGTATGTTGTTCGCGAACTGCCGTTGAAGAATAGCACGAGACTTCTCGCCAATGCATATGATTTTCGTGTCCTCGCGTTCCTTAGAATCGGCTAGTAACCGATCACGAATGTTACGAGATACACCAGTGTGCACAGCGCCACAGAGACCGCGATCGCTGGTCACAGCAATAATAAGCTTTTTCGGTTCCTCTGGTGATGCTTGAATCTCAGCCTGCTCGTAGAACACTTTTGTACCGACGCCAAGAGGACGAGCTTGTTTTAAATCACGTTCTGCACGATTGTATTTAGCTGCTGACACCATCTTCATAGATTGGGTAATCTTTTGAATATTTTTTACAGATTTCAAACGTATAGAAATTGCCTTTAGAGTGGCCATTCCCCTCTGCTGTTGCCATTGCTGCTCCTGCACAGCCAGTCGTAAGAACGTTGACATACGATTGTTGAGCATCATTGTTGAATTCCTAAAAATTCAAATTATTAAAAAATCACTCTATTTTAAATCAAGGACTCTGATCAAAAAATTTCGGTTCGGATAACGATCCGAGCCTAAATCCAACTTTTAGTTTTAGTTCTTTTATCGTAGCAATTACTAGGTTCATTTGGATTTCAGTTTCTTTCGGTTTCAATAATTGTACAGGATGAATTATTTTAAGTGATACGTTAAAATATATTGAAAAATATAAAAGATACGATAAAATGTTTTAAATAAAAGTTGCTTAGTTACTAGGGGGAAAGAAAGTGGACTTTGGTTGATCTAGAGAAGATATCCTAGGCTTCTTATAAGTACTCAGCCAAGAAGTTGGCGTTGATGGTGGCGATACCAAATATGTCGGCGGCCTGGCAATGTTGCGTGCCATTTCCATATTATATGATTAACTTTTTCGTGCCATTTCCATATTATATGATTAATTATGAAAATACTATGACTTATCTCGTACTTATGGAACTCCTAAAAATAGGTATACATTACATTTAGCTTGACATTTCGTAAAAGCGTATTTTTCATTCGTTTTGACAGCTGTTAAACCATGTTTCTTACTAAATATAGGATCACTTTACAAAAATTTTTTTGTAATCTTGACTTGACTTTAAAGACATCTTTCGTAGGTCAACCAAAATCACAACTTTCTTTTCCTCTAGTAACTGAACTTTTCGTTTAAAACATTTTTCCATATTTTTTATACTTTTCGAGATATTTCATTTAAAATAACTCACCCTGTATATACAATATTTGAAATTGTAAATGCCTTTACTAAAAGATATGGAACCAATCAAAACCAAAAGTTGAGGAGTCTTGAACTATAATCATAATCAGGCCATTTTCATCCATAATGTAATTTCGATCGAAATCACTGATTTTAATCATTTTAATAGATCTATTCTTTTTAACTTCTCGTCTTTTCTTTTCTTTTCTCCAATGTGAAAAGAAAAAAAAAGAAATAACATCGTACAAGCTGGAAAAAATATATACAGTATTATAATTACTTTGCGAATGATGAATTTAATTCTGCATTATTTAAACAATATTAGGAATAACTGGAATAAGTATTCAAGTATTCTACCTAATACTGTTTTGTGAACAACTTTATAGATAAAAACATGCAAATCATTTTTTGATATTTTTAATATCAATTATAGTTAATTGAAACATATATAATTCAGTATTTCATATACTACATAGATAATCAGGCTATGTTCCAATATATACTGCTGATACTGAAAATCTGTAATTTACATTATGTATACTGAAAATTTTCCTGAAGAAGTACTGGCAGCAGGTCTATTTTTACTATACTGTCTGAACTGAAAAGTGTACATGATGCAATAAGTTGAAATTAAACAAATATACTTTTGTTTTATTTCACCGTATACACTAGTAAGGAATAAAAAACAGACCTACTGTATGGCTATGGTTTGTGCATGATTGACGTTCATAATATTAAAAAATCATTTTATTCTTGTTGTTTGTCAAATGACAAACAAAAACAAATAATGTTTATAAGCATTGTAAGCGTTGTGATCGTGTGATCATGAATCAGATTGTGACTTATATCAAAACATGGCTACAGTAATGACCGCTTTCATCAACTCTGATTAACGCTAGTCGATAGTTAACTCAATTAATCACGTTTACCAATGTGAGAACCGAACACAGTTCTCACATCTTGAAAAAAAAAAAAAAAAGAGAGGAGTCTTGATACATTAAACTGTTGCTGGCACTTCTACGAGTTGTCAATTAATTTAATCAGAAGTTGATGAAAGAGGCCTTAAGGCTCAGTTTGGCAACTCATGATTAACTTTTAACCAAAATTTAACCTATTCAATATTTTTAATAATTGAAATAAAATGTAAAATAAGTTGAATATTAATTAAGAGTTAATAGTGAATTCTGAAACTGAGTTGAAGTAGAATTAATATCAGAATACAAGATATCTTTCAAGTATTGAAGTTTGTCTATGGTCATCTATGGAAGCAGATGAAAAAAAAAACAAAACATTGTCTTAATTTTTTTGTTTTTAAATACATTTGTTATAAGTATAGATTTAGTTCCACCAATGATATGTGAGTGACAGCAGTAGCATTGTACCTTTTTTCAAATAGATATCTACCAATATATATCAATATATATCAAGAACTGACCCCAAAACATCACTACTTTTTACAAAAAAATTATTATAGTGTTTCTTAGCTTTATTTTCGTCTCAGTTTTAATATCTATGTTATATAATCTAAATTAGATAAGTTAAAGGCACATTAATTCGGCGAAAATCAAGAAAAAAAAAATTTTTACCTCAGTACTTAAAGGATAAAAGAGGTATCAAAATATAATAGAATATAATAAAATATAATAGAATATAGATAAATAATAGAATATAATAGATAAATGACGAAGTTGTTCCATAAGGCCTCCCTACACGGTCAGTAATACTAAATCAGTATTATTGACAGTATGTATTAGTTTTTACCATCTTATACGATCAGGTATTATTGATAATATTTCACTTCAGTTTGATGTATATTATTATCTATGGCGACATGGATCTTAAGGAAAAAGCATATATTTAAATCCAAATCATCATCAGTATTCTACGTCAATCTATTAATATTAACCACAAACAATCAATAATATTGTCAATATTCATTAATACTGACAGTATTATTAACCGTGTACAGAGGCCTATACAAGTATTTGTGATAATAGTTGATACAAATTAAACATTTCTGATAACAGTGATAAATACAAAAACAATTAAGAACAATCTGTTACAATTATAGACAATTTTTGGCATTCAGGGCCGATTGTTCCATCTTTTGGTAACGTTTACCTGTTAAGTAAGTAGTAAGATTGCCAATCACGTGCGCGGATTGCCAGATTTACCTAACAGGTAAACTTTACCGAAAGATGGAACAATCCGGCTCTGAGTAAATCTTAACCTTCTTTGTAAAATAAATCCGTTCTATACACATACCTTCTCACTCCTGAAATAAGTTGTAAGACACTATATGGTGCAGAATCTGATATGATCAAGTCTTAAATTCGGAATTACGGTATCGTATCAAGCCTAACAATCAAAAAGCCAACAGTTTTGAACGATATATAACATCTTGGTCCGTTTACATAATCGCAAAGAGAATTGATTTCGAACATGTGTGGAATCTTAAGTTCGATATAATGATTAAACAGATAAAAAAAAGTTCGAAGCAACTTAGCAAAATTGACTTACCAGTTAAACTAAAGCTGTGAAAATAAAACACCAGCCAATTCTTTAAGGAATTAACAGCTTTATGCTTACGTTTAATGGCTCCCGCAGGCAAACTGGACACGACATGGCCAGTGTTCAAAGTAGCGACACAAAGCACGCTCTACGCACGCCTTCCGATTGAAGGGTGCCGGTGGGAGAGCAATCGAATCAGATTTGAATATCCAAAGGTACATTTCAAAATGTTCTCTACGTGCTCTACGAGAAAAATTTTATTTGAAATATGTAGTACACGTAGCATAAACTACAGTATATAGAGTAAAATTTTTCTCGGAGAGGAAACGACGTTTTGTAATGTATCCCAAGGATTGGAAAAAGCCTAACAAAATGGGCTGTGTAGAATAAAAGGAATAAAGAACAGAGAATAAGAATTTGAACCTATCAGAAACTGTGTATTACACAGCTTCTGATAGGTTGAAATTCTTATTCTCTGCGGAGCCCACGAACTCTAAAATACGAAAAAACTTGTGTATGACTGTGCATATGTAAGCAATGGGCGCATTCAGCAGAAAAGAGCGCTACGAGAGCGCTCGCTGTTATTGGTATATTCTTCCAGATTTAAAATTCTGATTGGATGATCTAGAAGAATACACCAATAACAGCAAGCGCTCTCGTAGCGCTCTTTTCTGCTGAATGCGCCCAATGATGATATGCAATCGTAAGACTGATTTTCAATTTTTCAATCATTAGTGACATAAGTAGTTCATATAAAATATGTTTCAATTAAATATTTGAATATGATGATCATGAGACCTTTAAATTATGATTTTGAACCTTACAAGAGAAATGGCAGAAAAAATACAATTTGAGTGTACATAACCTCACATTTAATACATATAGGACATAACAGAGCACTCTGCGTACAATGAAGGAAATATTAGGAATAGGAATAAATATTAAAATTTCAACTTATCAGATACTAGCTACGCCGGAATACGCGATTTCTGATAGGTTAAAATTTTAATATTTATTCCTGTTAAGCCCTGTGTCCACGGTGCTATAGAACTTGATCCAAATTCTTGAATCCAAGAATGTGTAGCCAATCAACATGTAATTTTAACGGCAAGTTGATTTGGTTACACATTTCTCAGTCCTAAAATTCGGACCGAGTTCTAGCACCGTGGACACAGGGCTTTAATAATTAATATTTATTATATTCCACGCATGCCCTATCACCTTAATGAGATAAATATTTATGATACATTAATGATGGCTTATAAATATTACATTCTCACTCTCTTTCTCCCCCTTCCTCAGTCCCTCTCGCTTTCTCTATCTCCCTCTTTCCCTCTCACTCTGTTTATTTTCAAAATATCTTTGCTGCGTTAGTTTTCCACGCTTACGCTCTGTAAGCTTTTTCTATCTTTTTTCTTTAAATATCGAACAATAATGATAGGATGTCTAGTTTAAATTAGACGCAACAAGCATCAAGCAGCGGAGCTGTCAATCTATCGTCAAGTTCTGTCAGCAGGGTCTGCTCCAAGCCTATTTCCGCAGGCTTTGCTATCAGGGTAGTAATTATAATAAGGATTATGAGTCAAAATAATTTAGTTTAATAAATCAATGGACTATTTACATATAAACGTTTCAACATCAGTCAGGTTATTATCAATGTTAAATAAAAATTAAAAAGGCCGGTAAATCTTGAGAGTATAAATAACATACAAAACCTTGCGCAGCCTTCTATTAAAGCTGCGGTCCACTTAGCGCTTCAAACGCTACAGAGCATATGTAGCACTGATATGATTGATTCATTTGAAGCTTCGAAACGCTCCCAGCAACTCTGATACATCAATGCTTCGTTTTCATTCCAACTACCTCACCTCGGAGGTGGGTTGGCTGGAGCGTTTATGTAGCAATTATAGCATTTGGAACAGTAATGGACCAATCCAAGCATAGCGTTTGGAGTATAACATTGAGAGTATTTGGAAGAAGCAAGAGGATCGCAACCGAGGTGAGGCAGTTGGAGCAAAAACGATGATGTATTGGGCTGCGATCCACTTACTTTTTCCAAATGCTCTGAACACTACGTTTTAAACGCTACGGTTGGATCGGTCCATTATTGTTCCGAATGCTACAATCGCTAAGGAAGGTATGGATTTTATTTTCGAATGTACCTGGTAAACGAATAAAACATTTCCAGGAAAATAAAAAGAATTCAAAAACAATAAACTGATGTGAGAGGTTTTTCTATAGATAAAATGCTTTTGTCATCTATCAAATTAATCCTTTTAGTTTGATACATTTACACATAAACTATATGCATTCCCCTGATAAAATGGGAAAAATTTAATACAGGTCAAGTGGCGGAGTATGTTCTTCGTAAAATTGTTTTCTTTCGCCATCAATAAGTTGACGCTTTCGCTCCATTTCCATAGCAAACAGGCGACGTCTTCTTTTTATACCCATTATACATTCATACAAATCCTCGAGTATCAATCGGCACTTTTCCTTGCCTTTATGATAACCGTATGCTTCCATGCAGTCCACATACATCAGCTCATATGGCCCGCATTGTTTGTTGTTTTGTATATTGCGTGCATAGTGAAAGACATCTGTGGGAGGTCCCTTGAACATAGGTGTACCCCATTTCATCCAAATAATGTCGTCATGGTTAATCATAATGTACCTGAAAAACACAGTCAATATTTCAAAGTTTCAGTATTTTAGCATGGTTTTCATGCTGTAAAGAAGTATTCTATGTGATCATGGAAAGAAACTTTCAGTACATCTTTAAAATGTAAAGTTATAATTCAACAGCTGTTTTTAGATTTTGAATGTGATTGAGTCTGCCACAAAGTTCTGGAATTGATTCGATTTGCTTTAAAATATGTTGTTACAAACACAAAAAGATGTTTTTTTTTTATAACAGCCTAATTTCAAATTTAAAAAATAAATTTAAAAAACTTAAAGAATCTTTAAGAATCAAATAAGAAACTTTTTTCAAATCAATAAGAAACTTTAAGAATCAAATTTAAGAAACAATTCCTCGAAGAGTTAATTCTTATATCTAATATTACTAAAAGAATTAGAAAGAAGAGTTAATTTTTACATTCAATTTCTATGAATCAACAATAGTGATGTACAGAAAAATGTTTCGGACAAAACTCTTTTGGTTTCTTATATACACACTTTCACTTTATTCAGATTTTTCAAAAATCTAATATTTTCAAAATATTCCTATTCCCATTAATTTTAGAGGGTTTGCTTTACCTTTTAAATCTCTAATAATGAGACTGAACAGATAACAAAAATGTGTCTCTTAGATTTTTGTATTTAATAATATATTTTAAGGAGAATCAAATCACACAGTTCTAGACAATTGTAATAAGTGAGTTCTTGTGAGTGTCATTACGTTCAAACACTAATTAATTTAATTTGCGATTAAATGAAATGAAGAATTGCTTGAAACGAAAAATTTCCATATAATTCTTTGCTTTTAATCTAATCTTTTCTCCTATATATTAATTAAAAATGACTAATAATTCTATTCATATTACCAATAACATTGATAAAAGTTAATTATCAATTTTGATCAAAATTAGACTAAACATATAGTCAAAATTCCTGATCAGCTAGTAAATGATATCAAAGAAAATAACGATACTTATTGTTACATTGTCAAACAATAAAACTCATTGCAATTTATTCGCATTGCACAAAAGTAACAATTTGGTAAACAATTTTTTATTTGAGACAGTATAATCTATACAGAAAAGTATAATATAATGTAACTCGTCATGCATGTAAAAACGAAAGAACAAGGAGTATAATATTACGTACCAGTAAAGATAAACAATATCTCGGTTTCTTTGTAATTCTTATTTACGCCTCTGAAGCTTTTAAAGAAATTTTAGTGCATAGAAAACTTCTCTGCTGTCATATTTTTACATAATCAGCCGATCAGCGATAGAAGTTAAGCCGTAATCACACTACAGGCTCCCGAATCTGACTCAACTATAGGAGACTCGGACTCCCGACTATAATCAGAAGAGAAACCTGAGAGCGGCCATGGAGGCCTTTTTCTTGTAATGCTTCTAACTCGGAACTCCCCGTATACTAACGGCACCAAAGTCCATTTTCGAGCTGCGGGAACTACGACCACGTTCATTTTCGTGACCCGCCGTCTCGCCGATAAAATCGTATCGTTGAAAGTGGACGTGGTTCGGGTCCGTGTTAAATCAGATAAAAAAGATTTGCTCAGTATGAGTGAGCGCGACAGCACGATAATAAAATAATAAGTTAATTAGTTTTACGACTATCTAAATCTCTGTTTGGGCGAAACTTGGCGAACGCGCACACGGACAAAGAACTTTTTTATTCCTGAAAAGGTTATGATTTGAAAGATATTCAATTTAGGCGCAAAATCTTGCATAAACTCTACGAGTTCGGTTTTTGAATCCGTAGTGGATTGAGAAGCTCGATTAGCTCTAGAATGTTAATACCGAATTCAGATGAGATAACATGTAGCAGAAAGACATAGTTATCGAACAATTTCCAAGGTGTAAAAAAAGCAAACGGACGTTTCTGATTTGCAATACTAAAAACGCACATATTTTGATTCAATTCTTTAAAGCCTATACAATTTCACTAATTGATTTCTACCATATTAATGTACAAAAATCTCTCGTTTTTCATCATCTTGTGCACTAGGTTTAAAAAAAAAGCAACAGTTTTTTATTTCCATTCATAACAAGAAATCATTAATTTTCTCTCTCATTTTTTTTAAAGCTGTTCGTTGTTGAACGGTGAATAACAATGGTAATGGTAAGTTGTGTAAAATATCCGAATTTTGAAATATCCGTCTACAACTATAACAGAGATGCCTCCAAATGTCTTCTGTAGTTACTTGTCTCTTTCTATTGTTCTCACAATTACAATCGACATTATCGTTACAACATCCATTGTTGTCCGAGTGCATAAAAAGGTAATTTGTATGTGATACTCCGTTTTCTTCATTATTAGAACTTATTGTATTACTACATTTAGAAGATACCAATTTGGAAACCTCGATCGCCCTCATGGCAGTCACTTCATTGCCAGAAGGGACAAAGTCCAATCTTGCATCACAAAGAACACAATTATCTTCTATACTTTGCTGTACGTTGCTCCTTGGGCTTATTTTATCGGCTGTGCGGAATACGGTGGATATTGTACCAGAAAATTGAGATTCCAGTTCCATTGCAAAATTGCATGCTAATGCCTGTATAGAAGTTGCCGTTATACTAGCTTGTGTTGATTTAACAGGACTTATCTTATGGTACTTTGAATAATATACCAATTCCGGCTGTGTAAAATCTCTCATCGGTTTGAGTATCTTAATGTCGACACATCGAGTGTCACAAAAGTTTGCTTGCATGGAAAGTTGCGCGCCTCGTCCTAAGCATACATCTCCAAGCACCTTTGTAGCAATGTCTGCAGCAGAATCAGCTACAAATATCTTATTACAATTAAGTTTGCGAGCTGCCGATAGTAGTAGTCTTCGACGTAACTGATTAAGAAAATCCGTCCTTGAGGTATTATCCGATAAATTAGCCAATATCGCATGCAGTCGATTATCATTTTCATAATTTATCTCTTGATCCATCGGTTTTATATCCAGAGTATCTTCTTCGTTTAAAACTTGACTCATTGATACAGCGTAACTGTTAAATCCTGAAGCTTTTGTTTCCTCAGCAATTTTATGTCGCAGCATGTCCCTTTCATTGGTTTTTTGCATATTATCTGTCAACAGAATTCTCTCAATCTCAAAATTTTACACGATAAATACATAATAAAAAAATTCAATATATGATAAAAAATAAAATATTCTGCTAATTATACAGTAATGGGGCCTAAAATAAAACTACTCTTACATATAATTAGTTTTTTTTTTTAAGACTTGAATTGAGAGTAATAATACTGTAACTAACAATGATAAATATGTATCCAATCATTTTCTTTAATAAGAATGTAAATAAATAAAAGTTCATTTTTTAATATAAAAATGTTAAGCGTTATTTTATTTCATTAAAAATGACACTAAAAAACTATATTCTAGAATGTATTTCGTATCTAACATAAAATACATATTTTTAAATACTTTATAAGTAAAAACTTCTTTTATACTGAAAGTGATTGTACCAAAGAAAGTTGTGTTAAAGATTTTCCTTTTCATAGAAATAAATATTATATATCTTCAAATTGTTTTCCATTTTTGTATATTGAATTTAATACACAATAAAGTAATAATCTGTTTTATTTTTTCTATGAAGAGTCACATTTCTCCTTTTTTTTTACCCATCACTGACAGTCCTACATTCAGGACCATAATCTTAACAATATTTTTTAAAGTTAAAGTTATTGTAGAATGATCTCCATTACTGCATAATTGTTAAAAAATTCTAGACTTAGCAGACTTACCATCTACATACAAAATTACTATCTCAAAAATAAGTCTTTTGTGAGCAGATTCACTCATGCCAGCTTTAATGAGATGTAAGAGCACAGTGGAATTTAATTCTCCAGAGTGATTGATCAGTATTTTGTCACCACGGCGAATAATTTTAGATTTACCAAGTGCAGCTCTAAACTTGTGGTTTGTAACATTCAAGAAACAAGCTTTGCAATAACCACTTTGACCAACTAATAAAATATTGGCGTTTTCATGTTTGCATTTTCTGCATAGTATCATATCTCTATTGAACACAAATATGATTTTATTCAATAATCTTATTTTGGTGATTATTTGGAGTATTCTCTTCCTTTAAAAAATCTTAATAAAGAAGTACTCATTCAATATGTTTTTATTCAAAATGAAAAAATCTGTCAGAAAAACACAGTGGACGACTTTGTAAATCAAGTTATTAAACGTTAAAATTCAAGATTTTAGAGGTTTAAATATCTGCCATTCCAACTAGATTCAGTATAATGTATAAGTTCTGCTTTAATTACACAAATTCTCTGCTTTATAAATACAAATTCATTGATTTAAAAACACAAATTCATTGCTAATGCAGAGAATTTATGTTTAAAGTAGGTAGTGAATTGTTGTTTATGAAACAGTAAATTTATGTTTATATAACTGATAATTTGTCTATTCAGAGTAATTAAAGTAGAACGTACAAATAGCGCTGTACCAGGTCGGGATGGTAGATATCTTAACCTCTAAAGTCCCGAACTTTAACGTATAATAATTCTATTCACGAGGTAGAGATCGCTGCTTTTCTGCCAATTTTTTTCATTTTGAACAAAAATGCGTCAAATGAGTACATTTTTATTAAAGTTTAAGAGGGGGTATTCTAATTAATTATCCTTATTTTTTTCTTATTTGTTATTACACTTACGACGGTAAATCTTTTTTTCTGTTTTCAGGTATACCATCATCGCTACCATCAAATAAGCAATTGTTTAAAGAACACATCTTTCCTTGTGCAACCTATGTCCAACAAAATATAAATTATATTTTAACGAGTATTTCATTAAACATTGTAAATATTCAATTTAAGAGCTTTACCTCCAGTATTGATAAAATTATGCTTAATAGACGTGTTGCATGAAATGAACCAATCTGACAAGAAAAACACAAAGTCAGACAAAGTCAGAGAGCATGAAGAAGGCATATACTCGTAACACTACATGTAGTCGGTATGACAGATTTCTTAACCTGAATAGTCGTCAACTTTAACGCTTAATATCTCGGTTCGTAGGGCAGAGCGACACTTTTTTCTGCCAGATTCTTTCGTTTTGTGCAAAAACGCGTCGAATGAGCCTAATTTCATTTAAATCGGTGAGGTCGGCCGTTTTCTCCATAAATACCTAATAGCAGAGAGAAACCTGAGAGAGGACATAACGACCTAAAACCTGTAACCACAAAATACTGCCGCGCACTACTGCCCACTGCAAAAGTGGATGTGAGCTACATGCCAGATCCACTATTCTGAGGATAACGCATATACTTTTCAAGACTGATGGTAAGTAGATATTCGCGGTTCGTATAATCGTATTCGCGCTACATAAAATGTGGATCAGAATAAATATTCCTCCCTGCAACTACATATATGTATGCTTACTTCCATGCGCGTGATGTTTATTATTAAGCTTAAAAGTATTAACATTAAAGATATATATTACACCCATTTTTTTTACAAATATGTTAAAATATATCGCGCGTGTTTATATTTTAAATAAGTTATATATACATATATATGATCCCGGCAATTAATTCGCATTTAGAGATTTCAATGAAATCTCTAATATATATCTTTAATGTTAATACTTTTAAGCTTAATAATAAACATCACGCGCATGGAAGTAAGCATACATATATGTAGTTGCAGGGAGGAATATTTATTCTGATCCACATTTTATGTAGCGCGAATACGATTATACGAACCGCGAATATCTACTTACCATCAGTCTTGAAAAGTATATGCGTTATCCTCAGAATAGTGGATCTGGCATGTAGCTCACATCCACTTTTGCAGAATAGTTAAAATTTACAATTATTTAGCTTAGAAACTTGATATACCAGTCTGCGTATGTGAACCTGCGCACAATGGGGTAGATTTAGGCTGCGCACAATAGGAGAAATATTAGGAATAGATTTTAAATATAAGAATATTAACCTTTCAGAACTGTGTACTGTGGAATGTGCGTTTTCTGACAGGTTAAAATTCTTATATTTAATATCTGTTCCTAATATTTCTCCTATTGTGCGTAGACCCTTATTATTAGGAATCAGAAAAATCGTGTATCATCGATACGAAGCAAAATCTTAAGCCCATTCTACATTAGTCGTATCGTAGACGTCGCAGGTCATAAATTTGTTGCAACAGCCAATCCGATGTGTCAATTATGGGCCTTCTACAATAAGCCGTAAGTCACAAATCATAAGTCATAAGCTAGAAATGGACCAATCACAGTTGTCAATTTTTAATTTCTTACTTCCGATTTATGACTTATGACTTATTGTAGAAGGCCCATTAGAAGTCTCACGTTGCTTACGATGTTACGATACGACTAATGTAGAATGGGATTTATCTTCTGATTGGTTGCAAAGTCGTCGTACGACGAAAGTTGGATGGTTGGATACAGTGTGAATCCTAAAGCCCACGTCACATAGAAAAACGTAAGGCCGTAAACGTAATCAGTAAGCGAATTGACCAATCACAGTTGAGAACGTAGCGGCGGCCGCTTACGTTCTCAACTGTGATTGGTCAATTCGCTTACTGATTACGTTTACGGTCTTACGTTTTTCTATGTGCCATGGGCTTAACATAAGAGCCTTATTATCTTGGCCTTTTTCCAGCCTTTTTCCTGTAAGGCCCTGCACACAATGGAGGAAATATTAAAAATACAACGTGCTGCGGAAACTCGATAAAATCATATCGTTAAAAGCTAACGTGATTCACAAATTATACATGGATGTAAAGAAAAAGTTTTTTTTAACGTTGTCGAAAATTTGTCGTTTTTTTATTTGATAAAATTTACAAGTAATTCGGAAATTATGCTGTGTCAATTAAAGTTTAATTAAAATTAATATTAATTTAAATTATATACCCCCTTTATACTAATACTATATATATACACATATATACTATATACATATACATTGATTGACTAAACTTTAATTAAAAATAAAATTATATAATACACAAACTATACAAAATAAATTCGCAATAACGTTTTTTTTTTTTTGTAAATATTATATCAAACTTTATAATTGTTTCTTGAAAATTTTAATACATTAAGTTTAAAATTATCTTTTATATTTTGAAAATTATAATACAATTTTAATTATAATCAAATATTGTTAACGCCGTAAATTATATTAGATATACTTCAGACGACTCCTCTGTCCTGTGGTTCTCGCCAACCGCCAAACTTTCTTTCGATTTCTTGCGCAACAGCAATCGTCAAATGGTCACAGCTCGGATTCGCGACAATCTACAAAAATTAAGTTAAAACTAATTAAATATAAATGGTTCTTATAAAAATCTTATAAAAATAAACTTTGAGTTTACCAATTACAAATTCAAAATTGTAAATAAATTAACAAGCAATCTATAGATACAGTATAGCAATATTTAATACTTTATTAGTTATAGACTACTGAGTCTGTTTCCTAACTCTTTCCATAAATAAGTTAATATTCAATTTTTAATTTATGAATGATCAAACAGAAAGTAATGACTTTATTTTTGTACCTGAATTCCAATAGGTAGTTGGTTTTTATCGAAGCCAAGTGGACATTGCGTGACCGGAAATCCTAGCACGTTGAAAATCATCATGAATGTGTAATTGGTTATGTTGTACAAACACTCGTGAGGATAATACGCTGATGAGATAAAGGATGGACAAATCAATACGCCGTTATCACCCAACAGTTCCTAATCAAAAATGTCAATGCGGACATTATTATAATTATATTACATTTTCATATTTAAAAGTTAATTACATCTTTAATAATAAAATGTTAATTTATGCAAATGATAATAATTTGATTTGATCATCCACTGCAGACACTTTACCTCAAATTGCATTCTCAATCGCGTTCTTAATTCCATCATTTCATTATGAGTAGAGACTGGAAATAAACTTTTGGCAATGTTGTTACATAGCCCGAAACATATAGCAGGAAAAGTATGTTGTGACATGAAGAAAATATATTTCAGTGTTTCCATAAACACATTCTTCGATTTCTGAAAAATTGTTATATAAATTATATATTTGTCCATATTTTAATAATCTCATCATTTAACTGTACCTTAGGATTATCCCAACGATTAAACATTGAATATATGTCTTTTATAGTAAGAAGAACAACTGAGCTTAATTCAAAAGATCGTTTCATGTCTTCAAAATTTGCCTGTAGATGATCAAAGAAATAAAACACAATATTAAATCATATAATAGTTTAAATTCTCACGGTCCTATAAAAATATTTAATTTTGTTTGTCGTTGTCTATAAAATAGACGTGTTATTTGTATATATATATATATATATTTTATTGTATATATATCATTCTTAATTAAATACCAGAAAAAAAGTTATTACTGTATTACACCACACATATAATGTCCATATTTTATTTAATGATTATCTTTCTGATAATAAATTAAGAGTTTAATACTTATAATATAAACAAAATTTTGACATACTTTTTCCACTTTAACACCGCTTATTATTTCCAGATGTTTTATTAATTTGGAAATTGCATCTTTTATCTCAGTTGCTATTGAACCTGTAGATGGGCCGTAATTATCCATATAAAAATACTTTATGTTGCCCAGATTTACCTGTGTGAATATGCAAATCTTGCATAAATAAGCTTTAATAGAATAATGTCTATTTATATTAATTTTATCAGTTAATTTTTTTAATATTAGTAACAATACTTTAATATATTTAATTAAAATTTTTTGAGGAAGCGATGCGTGTGTGTGTACACATATATTATATATCGTGTTTTCTCAAAAAATTTTAATTAAATATATTTTAAAAAAGTACATATATATATATAATATATATAAGCAATAGTTTATTTAAAAAAATACTGACCTTTTTATTAAAGGTAATCCTGGCTTCATCCGATTGTGACATCACTGTTAATAATAAAGGCAGATCTGTAGCGTATCTGACCATTGAACCAATTGCGAAAAATGTAGACCAATTTTTATCATTTGCGCTAGGTTTGTGACCTTCTACTGATATCCAGTCTAAAATATAAAATTATTTGGTAAATCTTTAGATTAGGGGGACCCCCCAATGTTCTTGACCTTAACATATATGTTGTCAAGGATATGACCCTGAGTAACCACCAACAGGTTTTAGCCGTCTCGCACAGTGGGGTATTTTCGCAATCTAGGTGGACAAAATTATTGCGCTATAAAGCATATTTGTTTTTTTGCTTCTACACACACAAACACACACAAGACTTGAATGATATAAAAATATAATTTAGAGTGTATTTTCCCCCTTTTTTTAAAATAATTAAATTAAATTAATTAATTAATTAATTAATTATTTATACGATATGTTTTCTAAATATGCTTATAACATATGTTATACCGCGTTATACCGTGATGTAATTATTTTTACGTTAAACCTAGACCCTTAAACTGTACAGAAAAATCAAACTTTTTCTGCACAAGTTTGTACTTCCTATTGATATGAGTGATAATATGCCGCGCGCGCTCACATACGCATACATAGGAGGGACTCCACTACTGTTAAAAATAATCTAACCGAATCCATTTGTTGATGTGATATAGAAGTACAATCATTAAAGTATATTCGCACGGAAAGTGAGATGCCTATACTGTTGCACGTGGATTTCGACTTTCTACGCGAAGCGAGAACTATAATACCTCACGCCAGTAAATGGGTTGGGTTAAGTTATTTTTAACAGTAGTGGAGCCCCCCCGTAGGGGCATTTACGCATACATTTTACAACATAAAACGACATGATAGGTGCGAGCTTCTTCGTTAAACTTTTTAACGAAGGGCGAGCGATGGCTAAAACCTGTTGGAGATTACTCAGGATCATGTCCTTGACAACATATGTCAAGGTCATTGGGGGGATTTCCTAATCTAAAGATTTACCAAATTTTGCATTATCTGATTCTATTATTATTAATTATTTGATGGAAACTTACTTGGTGTTGGTTTATGGCCAAAAATGCCGCAAAACATTGCTGGAAGCCTAACAGATCCACCGACGTCTGAAGCCAGACCTAGGATTGAAGCGCCAGATCCAAGAAGAGCAGCCTGATTAGATACATCAATTTTTAATAATTACAAAATTCCATTATTTATTAACAAATATAATAACATAAAATATAAGATCTGGGCAATAGGAATCGGCGCCAGATTGAATATTGCGCTAGAATTAGTTAATATATAAAAACTTTCGTATCGTTTCAGCGCTCTCGTTTTAAGCCATCTTCAGCAGTTAGATGTTACAATTACCGCTCTTATGATATATATGTCAATCTTGGAGTGTGTGTGTCGCAATTCACATTTCCAAAATCACAAACGTGTAATTGCAATTGAAATGTGGTGAGAACTATCTTCTAACATTGTCGAATATGTTATGTGCCAATCAGTTGCAAAGCTGTGTGAGTGGAGTAGATATAGTGTACCTCAAGCTCACATTCAAATACAATCACACGCAGATCCAGAAGATCGTCAATTCAATTAATAAACAATAAATAAATAATAAATAAATAATTAAATAGTCGTCTAAGTTAAAATAAATAAAAGATATAGAGAAAGAGGGCAATGAGCCAATAATATCGTTAAAATCTTTAAATTATAATCTAACATATTGCGAAGAATATTTCGGTTCGGCCGGACGATTGTTCGGCGCGCAAGTTGGGGGGGAGGGTGGGAGGGTAATACATATATTACTTTGAATAAATATATTGCGAAAAATATTACTACGTCGACTCACCATCAGAGGTCTATAGATATTCGCAAAAATTCTCGCAAGTGCTTGGATACGCGTATATCTGTATATATAGATTCTCGATCTAATAACTTAAACAGGCGTCTAAGGTAGGCTTCCACTACAATACCTTACTGATGAGTCCAGTAGTGGAAGCTGGGACGAAACGCCATAATTACGTGATATTCTTCGCAATATATTAGATTATAATTTAAAGATTTTAACGATATTATTGGCTCATTGCCCTCTTTCTCTATATTATTTGTTTTTAAAAACATATTGAGCCTTATCTCAATGTACATTTTTAATAAATAAAAGATTTTAATAAGGAATAAAAATAGATTGATATTCTTTCTGAGTTCAGTTAAATCTATTATTTATATAAAAATTTTTAACTTTCACGATTTTTTATAATAAGAATTTTTAGTTATAAAAGAACTCTTTCGCATCATTATATATGTAGAAGGAAATATATATACCTCGCCACCGGAAGAGCCTCCAGCAGTCCTCTGTGTATCATAGGGATTCCTGGTGGTACCAGTTATTTTGTTAAATGTATGCCACCACAAACATAATTCTGGAGTGTTACTGACGAGAAGAGGAATCCCACCAGCCTTACGAATTCTTGCCACGACGTCGGCATCTTCTGTCGCTCTCTTTGTTTCTCTCAAGGAATCATCTTTCATTCCTACAGAATAACTCATCCCTAAACAAATAAGTTTTTGTATTTTAAACTATATATTAGTATATATAAAATTATTTTACAGATATTACGTCATAATATATTTTTATATTATGTAATAATCCGGAAAAAAGTTTTTATGCATAAATACATATTATATATAAATATGCATAAACATACATAAACTCGTATAAACTTTTATATATAAATAATTAAATATGTCCTTACATGTCCATACATCTTTCTTTCTTTTGTAAAATTATTTGTTAGTATAATAAAAATATAATAATGATAATGAAAACACATTACAAATTATTAATTAAAAGTATAATTTTTGCATTATTTGTTAAAACAAAATCAAATTTGGAGAAATATAAAAAAATTGCTCATGTATATTTATATAAAATTATACATATCTAATTATGTATGAAAAATTCTTTTACATTTTTTCTAAATTTTATTTTTTTTTAAATAAATAATGTTGTAATCTTTTAATTATATTTTTGATGTTTTCTTCTTCTTATTATTATACTTTGAAAAGCAGTTTTATAAAAGAAAGAAAGATATATAAACATGTAGATGTATGGATATATTTTATGTAACTACATTCCTGGTGGAAAAATTAATTCACGTATTGGAACACTTTTCAGCAAAATTTTTATATTTCAGGAAAATTTTAGTTTAATATCAGTGATTTTTAGCTACAATTTTATTTTCACCAAAATTTCAAAGAAACTTCAATAAAAATTCCAGCAAAATTTTAAAGAAATTTTAGTTCAATTTTTCAATATGTTAGCTGAAAAATTCACTTTTAGTAAAATTTCTGCAAATTTTTAGTAATTTCGTTGAAACGTTCCAAAAAAAACGTGGAATAATTTTAGTGAAATTTTTTCACCGAAGATGTGTTTATAAATATTTATACATGTTTATGTATGTTTATAAACATTTATATACTTATATTCATACATGAACAATTTTTTTTACAATATCGGTAAAAAAAGATTTTACTTTAGAGTAAACAAACAATTGATCTCAAATTAAAATTAGTTTATTCTAAATGTTATAAATCATGCATATGTAATTAATAGAATTTTTCACTATGATATACTTATAGTTTCATACTAATATTAATTTTTCATATTAATATTAATTTTTTACGATAATACATCTTGCAAGAGATATTGTTGTGAAAACTAATATTAATTACATATGATATTTAATGTTTAAAATAAATCAGCTTTAATTTGTGATCAATTGTTTGTTTGTCCTAAAATGATCTTTCGTATTGATATTATTATTGTTTAGGAAAATAGAGTTAGATATTTAAGATTAATTTTTTATGTTATGTATTTTCAAAAATTATGCGAAGTATGGTAATGATGTCTGAGATAAAAAATAAATATATTATTTTTCACACACACACATCTCAGAAATGATTCAAAAATTTCTACATTAATTTTTGATATACACAAGTTTCTGACATCTAATGAGAAATTAATTTATGATTTGCTACGACATTTAAATAATGTATGCAAAGTACTGCATAATTATAATTTTTCTAGAAGAAAAAGATCTCTATAGGATTAATTTTTAATTTATAATGTATTTAAAATGTAAATATGTGTCAATACCATTTTGGATATGCATAGTAATCAGTATATGAAATGGTAAAACGATGTCTAACGCAATAACATATATTACTTCCAAGAAAATAGCTTAGCAAATTCCAAGAAAAGCTTATTATCTATCATGATGAGTTAACTGATAGGAAAACAATTTCGTTAAACCGTGCAAATTGCTAGATCGTAGTCATATGTACTAACGACGAGTTTGAAATGACTTAAACGTCTTAAACAAAGAAAAAAGGAGAGAAACATTAACATAAGAACAGTGACTTCGCACCTCAACGCGCAGTCTAAAAAGTAAAAACTATACGGGCGACATCAATCTTAATTACTAATAAGAAAGGATGAATTATACTGTAATAAATTGTTGAAAATATATATCTTATTTGTATATATTTATCAACATCAAATTTCCTGAGATAAATTGATATTTAAAAAGAACAACTTCTTTGACATAAATTTATTTAAATGCAAGTTTATCTTAAGCTGAGTATTAAATGTATATCTCCAAAAAATATAATATTATTTAAATATTTTCTATTAATACATAATTTTTACAGTAATTTTAGTGAATACACTGTCGCTCAAGTTTCAGCATTCTCTTTATTCGTGGAATTTTTTTTTATTGTACCTAATATAAAAAAGTATGAATACAGATTGCTTGTATTACGTTTTTTACAATGAGGGTCAAGGTCAAGATCAAGGTCACTCGGAAGATTTTAAATTTTTTTAGTTCATATCACTCGTGGCGATACCGCCTTTCAGGATATATTACGTGCTATACAAAATTTTTTTGTATTTTTTTGTATTTTAGTAATTATGTACCCTCCAAAAATAGATTTTGGTGGCTCGGGATAAAAAACTTGTAGTGTCAATTATTAATCTTTTATATATAAATTCAAATTAACTAGTAGTTTTTTTAACATAGCCGGGGAGACACTACCGCATCTCCTGATTTAAGAAATTTACTTATAATTTCCGTTTATAGATAATTTTTCGCTACTTATTATTGAATAACTGAAAATAATAAAGTGAAAGAAAACATAGATACTTATTATATTATAATTTCATATTATAGTTAAACGAAGTTGTTAGCAAAAATGTAAGACGTGCTGAGACTATTGAATGTATAGTGTATACTTTGGGGAATTTGCACGAACAACAAAAGTGAACGTGAGTCAATAGTTTCGACAAATATCGATCAAATACAAAATTAGGACAATTCGTGTTATTACATAAAAGTCCATTGTAGTTAATTCCATAAGTGAAAATAAGTAAATATGAATATATCGATTTAATGTGATTAAAATAGCGTAAAGGAGGCACGGCAGTGTCGTTGTGCCTGGCTTAGCGACGAGACACTACCGTGTCTCCAGATTTATATACTATATTTCCAATTCAAATCGTGGAAAGATGAAAGTGCGTAACTCACCTTGAACAGCAATACTTTCTTTAATTGTGATAGGTAGCCCGAGTAACGGTTTCTCGCTCGCGATTTTTGCATCGTCTATTATAGTTGACTGCAGGAAATTATCGATTTCACGTGCCTCTTCAATTGCCGCATCGAAACGATTTTCTACAATGGCATTGATCAACGGATTCACTTCATTACATCGCTTTACATACGTAATAATCACTTCCTCGGAGCTGATCTGCCAAAAATTAAATTATTAAGATTGAATAATTTTGATTCGATTATATTGAATGATTTTTCAATACATGCATCAATTTGACAATAATATTGCCAAGTGTTTCTATAATAAGAGTTAAGACAAACTGCGGCCATTAATAACCAAATTTATGTTGATTAAACTGATTTTGTTACGTGTAAGTTGACTATTACTGTAGAGAATGTAGACGAGTTAGAAAATAAAACTCGCGTATAAAATATCTATTATAGTATTAACTTCTATTTATTTATATGTCAACTGATAATATAAAAAACGATAATTTCTGCAACTTAAAACTTGTGATATTACATATGGCAGATTTCGGCAGAAACCAATCAAAAGTTACGATCACATTGTTATAACTCTTATATGAACACTAATATTGCCTTCTAAGATGAATAAAATCTTTCGAATCTAATCGAATATCAAAGTAAACTTACTTCTCTTTTACGGATTTTCTGAGCAATTTCTGTCGCCGACAGCAACAAAATTCGATTTTTAATCGGCGGGCATCGTCGTCTCTTCTTCAAACCTCGCAATTTGAAAAACGGCTCAAGTAAACAACGTAGAAAAAACAAGCAATATTTTATCATCCTCATTATTTAACTCTTCTCGTATAATACAATATAACTATTTTGACAATTTTTTGTTAAGTATTTCGTTTAGACATAAAGTCTGAAGTAAATTTATAGTCTTTCGTTAATATCAATATTTTTATCGCTTTAAAAAATCTTTATTACATATTTTTCTCTAAAGATTTTGAATTTTTCAGTTTTGCAATTTTAAGATTAGTCACGTTGGTGTATGATCCATGCAGGTTAAAGATTTCGGATGTCCTAAATAAGGAAAAAAAGTTTTATTTTTGAGTCACGAAATATACCACATGCATTTCATATTATTATCTTAAACTCACTGAATGAACAAAACAGAGATCACTGTAGAGGATGTTTAATGATGAATGAAAACTTCATAACGCATTCTGCTATATTATTGCGATTTATCCCACTTGGTTGTTTCTAATTAATCCATCGATGTTATCGTAAGTCTCGTTGACTGTCAAAACACGCTTGTGCAATTAATTACAGGAAACGCGTGACTGTAATTACAAAATTTAATTTAACTTAAAGATATAGGAATATCTTTAAGAAAATGTTCCAATAATAAAGAAAAAAAAAAGATCAATAGTTATTATTAATTATTAAATTTTAATATTAATTATTAAAAGAGAAATTTTATCAGACTTTTCTGATAATTGAGCAAAAAAAGTAATAAAAGGATATTAAAATGTCATAAAATTTTGAAGATAAAAATATAAATACAATTCACGTGATTTTGAAAGAGATACATTTTTCTAAATCAATTTGTTCGATTACAGGATTGTCGCTAAATACAAACGTTTCATCATTTGTTCACAAAACTTTTCTGAAAGTCAATGAAAATAAACTTGTGAAATTGCTTAATTTAACACTGACGTAAGATATCGTGAAATATTGTCACTAAGAGAAACTGTTCATTACACAGAGCTAATTTTAGTTTTATGAAGGATGCAATATTATGTTAATCTCATGCGGATGTTTATGCAATACTTTATAGACACTTCCTCGAAGTTCTAAAGCGCTCACCTCATGATATTCACTGTTAAAAATGATAACGAAACACAACATGAGTATTCTATTTATGAGATTATCCAACTTCTTATTTTTTAACCGAATATACCGGTGTTATTAACTAGTAATTTTTTCTTCGATTTATATTTCAATTAAATCGATTTTGATCAATTTTATATTTACTGTTTTGAAAAACGCGGATTATTCTAAATTAATAAAGTTTAAATGTGTTGTTAAAATTCTTCTTCTTCGATTTTATATTCATGACACAAGAAAACTTTATTTCATATATTTTAATCACAGAAATTTAAAATGTATTTTGGTTAAATTTAATATATGTAACTTTTTGTTTTCAAAATATATTAATTTAAAAATATCTCCTTATATATTGTAATATATATATGTACTATATGTTTTGTACATTTCACAGTCAAAACGTTAATTTAGTAAATGTATGCACTCGCAATAGTCAATGTATACACATACTTACTAATTTGATGAGCAAATGTATTTACAAGTAACGAAATTTAAGCTTTTACTAGTTAATGAATACATTTTTACACCTGATTTAAAAATAAAAGTACACGTATATATAGACAAGAATGCGTCAATTTAAATCAAAATCTTTGTTTATGTTGAATACGTCTATTTTAATGAACATCTCTTTATTTATGTTGAATGCGTCAAAAAATTTAAATAAACTTCTAAAAAAATCTTAATTTAAAAAAATATTTCTTTGCTCAGTATTATTAACATTATTAAAAATTTCTTTAAAAAATTATAAGATATCTTTTTACTTTAAAAAAATCTTCAAGGAAAGTTTGATTGATTCAAAGAAATAATTTTTTTTAATACGAACAAAGAAATATTTCTTTAAAATTAAGATTTTTTTCAATGTAGCAAATGTGCACACTGGGATTACGCAGGCTCTGGTCACAAGTAAATACTTTTTATGTATTAAATCTTCGCTTTACTGAATGAATGAATCTACAATTCAGCTAGTAATAAGCTACGTCATTTTATCGTTATTTTGACATCAAAAGACGTCATTTTGACGACAGCTTGTTATCAAGGAATATATTAGAAATCAGAGATATACCGAAAATATTAATACTAATATAGTGTTATATAAGTGACTCCTATATGCAAGGTGTATTATGTATCACAAGCAAAGCTAAGTATATATAGATATGTATATATATATATTGTTGTCGATATAAACATTTACTTATATTCCTTTTTTTTCAATTATAGTGCACTTTAATATCTAATTCCTCAAAGTTTTTCTCAACTAAAAAAGTATTGTATTTTATATTATTATCATAGACGGATGCGCGCGCGCGGAAAAGCTCCATCGTCGATGTGACAGGTAACAATAATGACAAATTTTTATTTCGTTTCAAGAGGTAAAGCGATGTTATTCTTTTATGTCAATTCCGTTGATTCAGACAAAACGTGTCAAACAAATATAATTTCCAATAAGAAATAAAGCTTTAACGAGAAAATTTAGTTGGATCTTGGTTGTTTGTATAATTGCGCGTAAATTTATTGCATATATTACATATGTAGTTATATCACAATATAAATTTAAATTGCGAACAATTTTTTGATCTTGAAATACAAACTCTACTAAACTACCGCAGTAATATTACGTATCTATAGTTTATATTAAAATTAATATTTTTACTAAGTGTGAATATATAATACATACATTTTTTTACTCTCTTTATATTTTGATTGTGATATATATATATATACATATATACAATGTATAAAATAATAAACATATACAAATAGTCGTCTTTTGGCACCATTTTTCTTAAAAATGTGAACTAAAAATCAAATTTAAGTAACGAATTCATTAACAGCAAAAATATATCGGAAATGATTTACGGCTGTTTTATATATGTATATGTATTTATTTACAGTTAAAACAGAAATTCGTAGCGCTATAAACTTTGCAATTGAAACTGCTGTAGCTTTATTAAAAATAAACAAAATTTAAATTTAAAAAAGCGTTTTAAAAAGCTTAATCACTTTCGATACGTCGTTATGTCTTTTGAGTTTTTATGAATTTGATAATTTACTTCTCATTTTGTAGACTATCACATGCCCAAAACTTACGAAAATTTTTAACTTTTTGATATGAAAGATTACTTTATAAAATCGATTTTTTAAAATATTCCTCAAATTTTTAGTTATTCAGTTAAAAATCATTGTACCACAATTCAAAAAACAGATTCTTAAATGTTCTTGAAGCTGAAACTTTGTATCAAATAGTATAACTGCCAAATTTTGTTAAAAAAACATTTAGTTTATATAGTCTATAAAGTAGACATTTCATATAAATAGTAGGTAGTGAACATTTTTTACTCCAATATTTTGTAATTTGAAACTTTATGATTTTCCATGAACATGATGAGCGCAATGCGATAATATAACACGTGTGTGTATGTTATAAAAAATTAACCAAAATGGACAACAGTACACACATATCCAAAATCAGCACACAATATTAAAAAAATATTTTTTTAATATTTATTTAATGTAAAAATATTAAATAAATGTTTAAAAAAGGTTTTCTAAATGCAAAATATAAAGAAAAACAGTTTTATATTTCTTAGTAATATTGGAAACTACAAATCTATTAATTAAAAAATCTTATTACCGCTCGATTTAGACTGTTTTTCTTTACACTTTGCATTGTAAAAAACGAGCGAAATCTAATTGTCTTTTTATATATTGTGTGCTGATAGTGATTGGATATATGTATGTGTTATATTATCGCACTTATTATATTTAATAAGTACTAAAAAAAGTTTTTAAATTATAACAAAACTTTATTCTATGATCAAGTTCATTGTAGAAAAAATTAATCAGAATACAAATATGTTATGTGCATATCAAATGTTGAATATAAATTTTATTTTAATGCCAATGTTATTAGATTGTCATAAGATATTATAGGCTGTTTTTATGAAATTATGATTTCTGTTAGCACATTTCACTGGCAGAGCTAGTGCGCGCACTCAGTGTATTTTAATGCCTTTGTACACAAATCGACATAGAAATATATGTTTAATAAAAATAAAAAATGATTAAAACCATAAAATTTTTAATATATTTTATTATGTTATTTGACAAAATACACAATAAACATTTTATCAATTGAGATATCTTACTTTAATATCAGATTAGAGTAGTGTATAACGACTTTAATGTGCACTGAGTGCGCACTAGCTCTGCCAGTGAAATGCGCTATGTGTTTTATTTACGTTAAAACATTAGAAATAATCTTGATTATCTCAGTTTTCATATTAATAATACATATTATATTATTTATAAATGTATATATATAATATTATATGTAATTATATAACAGCAATAAATCATTGTGCATCTTATAATTATAATATCTATAAAAGAAAGCACATAATCTAATCGTTGTGTAATTAAAGGATTTTATGTCATAACATGTAGTCTATCTTTTTTAACAATAAACAAAAATATTTAAAATATGTTTGTAATAAAGGCTCAATAAATTTAAAAACAATGAAAATGTAACATCTTAAACTTGGCTCTCATCGCATTATTCTAACAACGGACAATTTTATAATTTGTTCATCGATACAATTTTATAAGAAACAATTATTACACGATTTCACAAACTACATTTATAACTAGACAAATTATCTATAAAAAACTACATTTATAACTAGACAAATTACATTGTTTTATGAATTCTTGCTGGTATGCCGAAATGAATACAACTTCAACTATGCGAGTGAGATTGCACACCCATATATATATATATATATATATAATATATTTTTTATGTTTTCGTAATTTTATAATTCTATAATTTCGAACATTTGTTAACAACTTGCGATCTTTGTAACATTAATAATGACCTAATAGAGATCGAAACGTCTGTTATCTATTTCTTGTTTTTCTAATTAAACGTAATTTTAACCAAATAACAATTTTTATTT